ACCAAGTATTTTTGCAAAATCCTGCATGGACAGTATGGCCATAGAAACAACGTTTGGAAGAAGGACCTCTGGCTCAAATACCGAAGCATCCAAGTGCGCGCAACATTCTGGTATTCACATGATGATCAAATGTGATTTTTTATTAGTCAAGTGAAGTATTTTTGCAAAATCTTACACAGCACGTCACAAGCTTTCTATACTATACAAGGTCATTTGAAACAAAGTTCGAAGCAAGAAGGTATGACCAAAAATTGAAAAGCCAGTTTCCTGAAAATAGTTTCAAAGGATGTTCCGGTTTGAAGGATTTTAGGGTCATTGTACGAATTGCTCATGGGCCACCTGACCCAACAAGTGCATTGTGTGGGCTTCAACCATGTTTTTTACCTGTAACCTGAGCCAACCTTGGAAACCCGAGAAATAGCCCAAACTGGCCCGATGTGTCCAACGGGTGAGAGTGGTCCAAAAATTTTACCCCGACAATCTTTTTGGCCTCGATCTGGCATTTGATTAGGTCCAACTGTATCATATGCTAAAAACAAGAAGCAAAGCACAAAGTATTGTATGATCACATGATGATCCATCATTACCATTTTTTGTGTCACCGTACCTTCCGATGTTCACAAAAATGTTACCATTGTTCGTTGGTGCAACATCTAGTTGAATTCACAGTATAATCCAGTGTTTACATTTATTTCACCATATCATCTAGTGTTCTCAGGAAGTATGACCACTGGAGCAGCATGTTGGCTCGCTTGGGGCTATTTATACCCTTCCAATCAGACATTTTAAGCGGGTTGTGGAGTAGAGAAGTTACAGGGACTTGCTAGACTTGAGGATGATACACTCCAATCACATATGAGAGCTTAGTGATTATACCAAATTGTCGGGGGTGAGTAAAAAGCAGTGCTTGGCACAGCCGGAGAGAACTAGAATAGAATACACGTTCAAGGTCTGTTCGTTAGGGACGGAGTGGAATTTTCATCACGCTAATACTGAATTTTGAAAACACATCCAAAAGACTAGACAATGGGTGGGTGGGACCCTGTTGGGTGTGTGTTATTCTTTCACTCTTTTTATAATAATAATAATAATAATAATAATAATAATAATAATAATAATAATAATAATAATAGTAGTAGTACTAATAATAATGATGATATAGATAGATAGAGTAGATATGGATTGCAGCATACATACATTATATTAGTATTGGTCAAAAATTAAGTTAACATATTTGAATTCTGAAATGGGTGTGCGTTGTATATTTTGGGATACAAGGAGTACTAAATTTGTTTAAGTGTGTCACTGGGAATAGTGGCTTGTACCGTATTTTACTTTAAAAACAGTACTTTAAAAACGTTGAGGGTTGCATGCCCATGCTTTATTTCTCGAGAGGTCTGCATGTCCTGCACTTCTTTTGACCGACAACAAGACAACCCGGAATGCCTAGCCCAGATCTATTTGTGGCAATTGAACAAGTGTCCGCCGATAAACAAGCCAGCCAGGCGATCTATGGGGCTCACCTTACGTCCATGCCTAATTTGCTTGCCTCCGCCAACCATAAATACGCAGCGACCAGCTACACACATCCCACATCCATCCATCCCTCTCCATCGATCAAGAAATAAACAAGGTTCTGTGCCAACTTACTTGCTAGCTCACCAATGGCCTCCTCGTCCTCCTCCTTCCCCTTTCATGGCGGTGGCGTTATAAAGACTTTTGCCGTCGGGTCGTGCGGCAATGAGCTCACCCTCACGATCGGTAAGGACTCCAGCTCCACCAAACTATCCTCATCACCAACATCGCCATCTCCGAGGTGTCGGTCAAGCCGAAGAAGCGCGCCACAGACTTTTCGACGACCTCAAGGAGTCGCCACCAACACCTTTTACCTTGACGACAAGGAGCCGATCAAGGACCTATCTCCTTCGCTTCATCACGAAGGCTGGTGGCTACCGTGTTGTCGATGATGTCATCCTGCTGACTTTAAGGCCGGTGCGGTTTACAAGACCGGCGAACAAGTCTCGAGTAATGGACGCGTGTGCTCTTCTAACGCATAGAGATTATATTGACCTCTAAAATAAACTTTTTAGAGAGACCGATGGTACAGAACGAGCATGCCAAAAATTCATTTTCTATGCTTGTTTTGTGGTAGGCTACCACGAAATAAAGTATACTATGTTCTCCTCCCGCGTGTTGCCGTGGAGCTATATATGCACACTTTACAATATTGTTTATGTATGGTAAAATAGTATTTGTGGATATTCATATAGATGGCTATGTACTTTGGTTTTCTAAACTTCTAATACATATATGTATGTGAGAATCAATAAAGCATGTTTACCTTGTGTTGCATGTCAGAAATGCAATGAATGTTGAATTTACACGTGATCATTTTCAACACAAATTGCTCAATGGACCAAACCATGACACGAAAATATTATCACAAACCAATTAATACATAATTTAACTTCGTGGACCGGTCTTCTCATAGGCCATCACTACGTTGTGTTGTCAAGGGGTGTGTTCTGAGCAGCGACTAGGATTCTAAACAAGCCAAACAAAATTTAACCCACAAAAAGGAGCACCTAGAATATTCCGTATAAGGATGGCTTCTTTTGGAATCATGAATTATGTTTGTTTTAGTAAAATTTGACTATAGTTTTATCTTGGCTAAGGGCTAGTCAAGGCCAACAAATTCTGTTTTGTTTTATTCATGTTGCAAGTTCCTCGTTGTTTTCTAACATTTATATACTTCTCCAATTGTAACTAATTTAATATCAGATAATACCATGCTACTGTAAAAGGATTAATGGACATAGACCATTTTTAATTACAGTGGAAGACTGGCCAAGTCACCGCTTGTGAAAATCATCGTAAGCAGAGCATAAGGACAATGCCCACCTGATCTATGTAAATGTTACTATATATAGGGCAGCCATATTAAGTCACCATCCCTATCAATGACTATAGATACGTGGACCTAGCCACAACTCTTAATGGTTTTGGTGATTGAAATGGTAACCCAATCACTAAGACTAACATGTATGCTAAGATGCGTTTCATGACTTCTCTTAGATCGCACAAAAGATATTAAAGCCATGATAAACCCAATCACTAGGACTTGTCTTATGAATTTGGATTTAGAGTAAATAAAAATTGTATGATGTTAGGTTCAAGTCGTAAATATTTTCACATGCTTTCGAACAAGTAAAAGACCACTAAAACTAAAGTCTGGAGGAGAAAGATATGGGAAAATACCAAAACATCAAATTGTGCGCATGATTATATGGTCATTTTAATTCGCTGGACCAAGTATTTTTGCAAAATCCTGCATGGACAGTATGGCCATAGAAACAACATTTGGAAGAAGGACCTCTGACTCAAATACCGAAGCATCAAAGTGCGCGCAACATTCCGGTATTCACATGATGATAAAATGTGAATTTTTATTAGTCAAGTGAAGTATTTTGCAAAACCTTACACAGCACGTCACATGCTTTCTATACTGTACAAGGTCATTTGAAACAAAGTTCAAGCAAGAAGTTATGACCAAAAATGAAAAAGCCAGTTTCCTAAAAATAGTTTCAAAGGATGTTCCAGTTTGAAGGATTTTAGGGTCATTGTATGAATTGCTCATGGGCCACCAGACCCGACAAGTGCATTGTGTGGGCTTCAACCATGTTTTTACCTGTAACCTGACCCAACCTTGGAAACCCGAGAAATAGCCGAACTGGCCCGATGTGTCCAACGGGTGAGAATGGTCCAAAAATTTTACCCGACAATCTTTTTGGCCTTGATCTGTCATTTGATTAGGTCTAACTGTATCATATGCTAACAACAAGAAGCAAAGCACAAAGTATTGTATGATCGCATGATGATCCATCGTTACCATTTTTTTGTGTCACTGTACCTTCCGGTGTTCACAAAAATGTTACCATTGTTCGTTGGTGCAACATCTAGTTGAATTCACAGTATAATCCAGTGTTTACATTTATTTCACCATATCATCTTGTGTTCTCAGGAAGTATGACCACTGGAGCAGCATGTTGGCACGCTTGGGGCTATTTATACCCTTCCAATCAGACATTTTAAGCGGGTTGGGGAGTAGAGAAGTTACAGGGAATTGCTAGACTTGAGGGTGATACACTCCAATCACATATGAGAGCTTAGTGATTATACCAAATTGTCGGGGTGAGTAAAAAAGCAGTGCTTGGCACAGCCGGAGAGAACTAGAATAGAATACACGTTCAAGGTCTGTTCGTTAGGACGGAGTGGAATTTTTCATCACGCTAATACTGAATTTTGAAAACACATCCAAAAGACTAGACAATGGGTGGGTGGGACCCTGTTGGGTGTGTGTTATTCTTTCACTCTTTTTATAATAATAATAATAATAATAATAATAATAATAATAATAATAATAATAATAATAATAGTAGTAGTACTAATAATAATGATGATATAGATAGATAGAGTAGATATGGATTGCAGCATACATACATTATATTAGTATTGGTCAAAAAATTAAGTTAACATATTTGAATTCTGAAATGGGTGTGCGTTGTATATTTTGGGATACAAGGAGTACTAAATTTGTTTAAGTGTGTCACTGGGAATAGTGGCTTGTACCGTATTTTACTTTAAAAACAGTACTTTAAAAACGTTGAGGGTTGCATGCCCATGCTTTATTTCTGAGAGGTCTGCATGTCCTGCACTTCTTTTGACTGACAGCAAGACAACCCGGAATGCCTAGCCCAGATCTATTTGTGGCAATTGAACAAGTGTCCGCCGATAAACAAGCCAGCCAGCGATCTATGGGGCTCACCTTACGTCCATGCCTAATTTGCTTGCCTCCGCCAACCATAAATACATGCAGCGGCCAGCTACACACATCCCACATCCATCCATCCCTCTCCATCGATCAAGAAATAAACAAGGTTCTGTGCCAACTTACTTGCTAGCTCACCAATGGCCTCCTCGTCCTCCTCCTTCCTGCTTTCATGGCGGTGGCGTTGGCAGCACTGTTTGTTGTCCGGTCGTGCGGCAATGAGCTCACCCTCACGATCGGTAAGGACTCCAGCTCCACCAAACTATCCCTCATCACCAACATCGCCATCTCCGAGGTGTCGGTCAAGCCGAAGGGCGCCACAGACTTTTCGGACGACCTCAAGGAGTCGCCACCAACACCTTTACCTTCGACGGCAAGGAGCCGATCAAGGGACCTATCTCCTTCGCTTCATTGCGAAGGCTGGTGGCTACCGTGTTGTCGATGATGTCATCCCTCGCTGACTTTAAGGCCGGTGCGGTTTACAAGACCGCGAACAAGTCTCGAGTAATGGACGCGTGTGCTCTTCTAACGCATAGAGATTATATTGACCTCTAAAATAAACTTTTTAGAGAGACCGATGGTACAGAACGAGCATGCCAAAAATTCATTTTCTATGCTTGTTTTGTGGTAGGCTACCACGAAATAAAGTATACTATGTTCTCCTCCAGCGTGTTGCCGTGGAGCTATATATGCACACTTTACAATATTGTTTATGTATGGTAAAATAGTATTTGTGGATATTCATATAGATGGCTATGTACTTTGGTTTTCTAAACTTCTAATACATATATGTATGTGAGAATCAATAAAGCATGTTTACCTTGTGTTGCATGTCGAAAATGCAATGAATGTTGAATTTACACGTGATCATTTTCAACACAAATTGCTCAATGGACCAAACCATGACACGAAAATATTATCACAAACCAATTAATACATAATTTAACTTCGTGGACCGGTCTTCTCATAGGCCATCACTACGTTGTGTTGTCAAGGGTGTGTTACGAGCAGCGACTAGGATTCTAAACAAGCCAAACAAAATTTAACCCACAAAAGGAGCACCTAGAATATTCCATTATAAGGATGGCATCTTTTGGAATCATGAATTATGCTTGTTTTAGTATAATTTGACTATAGTTTTATCTTGGCTAAGGGCTAGTCAAGGCCAACAAATTCTGTTTTGTTTTATTCATGTTGCAAGTTCCTCGTTTTTTCTAACATTTATATACTTCTCCGATTGTAACTAATTTAATATCAGATAATAGCATGCTACTGTAAAAAGGATTAATGGACATAGACCATTTTTAATTACAGTGGAAGACTGGCCAAGTCACCGCTTGTGAAAATCATAAGCAGAGCATAAGGACAATGCCCACCTGATCTATGTAAATGTTACTATATATAGGGCAGCCATATTAAGTCACCATCCCTGTCAATGACTATAGATACGTGGACCTAGCCACAACTCTTAATGGTTTTGGTGATTGAAATGGTAACCCAATCACTAAGACTAACATGTATGCTAAGATGCGTTTCATGACTTCTCTTAGATCACACAAAGATATTAAAGCCATGATAAAAACAAGAATAAATAGGACTTGTCTTATGAATTTGGATTTAGAGTAAATAAAAATTATATGATGTTAGGTTCAAGTTGTAAATATTTTCACATGCTTTCGAACAAGTAAAAGGCCACTAAAACTAAAGTCTGGAGGAGAAAGATATGGGAAAATACCAAAACATCAAATTGTGCGCATGATTATATGGTCATTTTAATTCGCTGGACCAAGTATTTTTGCAAAATCCTGCATGGACAGTATGGCCATAGAAACAACATTTGGAAGAAGGACCTCTGACTCAAATACCGAAGCATCAAAGTCGCAGCATAACATTCCGGTATTCACATGATGATAAAATGTGAATTTTATTAGTCAAGTGAAGTATTTTTGCAAAACCTTACACAGCACGTCACATGCTTTCTATACTGTACAAGGTCATTTGAAACAAAGTTCGAAGCAAGAAGTTATGACCAAAAATTGAAAAGCCAGTTTCCTAAAAATAGTTTCAAAGGATGTTCCAGTTTGAAGGATTTTAGGGTCATTGTACGAATTGCTCATGGGCCACCAGACCCGACAAGTGCATTGTGTGGGCTTCAACCATGTTTTTTACCTGTAACCTGACCCAACCTTGGAAACCCGAGAAATAGCCCGAACTAGCCCGATGTGTCCAACGGGTGAGAATGGTCCAAAAATTTTACCCCGACAATCTTTTTGGCCTTGATCTGTCATTTGATTAGGTCTAACTGTATCATATGCTAACAACAAGAAGCAAAGCACAAAGTATTGTATGATCGCATGATGATCCATCGTTACCATTTTTTTGTGTCACTGTACCTTCCGGTGTTCACAAAAATGTTACCATTGTTCGTTGGTGCAACATCTAGTTGAATTCACAGTATAATCCAGTGTTTACATTTATTTCACCATATCATCTTGTGTTCTCAGGAAGTATGACCACTGGAGCAGCATGTTGGCACGCTTGGGGCTATTTATACCCTTCCAATCAGACATTTTAAGCGGGTTGGGGAGTAGAGAAGTTACAGGGAATTGCTAGACTTGAGGGTGATACACTCCAATCACATATGAGAGCTTAGTGATTATACCAAATTGTCGGGGTGAGTAAAAAAGCAGTGCTTGGCACAGCCGGAGAGAACTAGAATAGAATACACGTTCAAGGTCTGTTCGTTAGGACGGAGTGGAATTTTTCATCACGCTAATACTGAATTTTGAAAACACATCCAAAAGACTAGACAATGGGTGGGTGGGACCCTGTTGGGTGTGTGTTATTCTTTCACTCTTTTTATAATAATAATAATAATAATAATAATAATAATAATAATAATAATAATAATAATAATAATAGTAGTAGTACTAATAATAATGATGATATAGATAGATAGAGTAGATATGGATTGCAGCATACATACATTATATTAGTATTGGTCAAAAAATTAAGTTAACATATTTGAATTCTGAAATGGGTGTGCGTTGTATATTTTGGGATACAAGGAGTACTAAATTTGTTTAAGTGTGTCACTGGGAATAGTGGCTTGTACCGTATTTTACTTTAAAACAGTACTTTAAAAACGTTGAGGTTGCATGCCCATGCTTTATTTCTGAGAGGTCTGCATGTCCTGCACTTCTTTTGACTGACAGCAAGACAACCCGGAATGCCTAGCCCAGATCTATTTGTGGCAATTGAACAAGTGTCCGCCGATAAACAAGCCAGCCAGCGATCTATGGGGCTCACCTTACGTCCATGCCTAATTTGCTTGCCTCCGCCAACCATAAATACGCAGCGGCCAGCTACACACATCCCACATCCATCCATCCCTCTCCATCGATCAAGAAATAAACAAGGTTCTGTGCCAACTTACTTGCTAGCTCACCAATGGCCTCCTCGTCCTCCTCCTTCCTGCTCGCGGCGGTGGCGTTGGCAGCACTGTTTGCCGTCGGGTCGTGCGGCAATGAGCTCACCCTCACGATCGGTAAGGACTCCAGCTCCACCAAACTATCCCTCATCACCAACATCGCCATCTCCGAGGTGTCGGTCAAGCCGAAGGGCGCCACAGACTTTTCGGACGACCTCAAGGAGTCGCCAGCCAACACCTTTACCTTCGACAGCAAGGAGCCGATCAAGGGACCTATCTCCTTCCGCTTCGCTGCGAAGGCTGGTGGCTACCGTGTTGTCGATGATGTCATCCCTGCTGACTTTAAGGCCGTGCAGTTTACAAGACCGGCGAACAAGTCTGAGTAATGGACGCGCGTGTGCTCTTCTAACGCATAGAGATTATATTGACCTCTAAAATAAACTTTTAGAGAGACCGATGGTACAGAACGAGCATGCCAAAAATTCATTTTCTATGCTTGTTTTGTGGTAGGCTACCACGAAATAAAGTATACTATGTTCTCCTCCCGCGTGTTGCCGTGGAGCTATATATGCACACTTTACAATATTGTTTATGTATGGTAAAATAGTATTTGTGGATATTCATATAGATGGCTATGTACTTTGGTTTTCTAAACTTCTAATACATATATGTATGTGAGAATCAATAAAGCATGTTTACCTTGTGTTGCATGTCGAAATGCAATGAATGTTGAATTTACACGTGATCATTTTCAACACAAATTGCTCAATGGACCAAACCATGACACGAAAATATTATCACAAACCAATTAATACATAATTTAACTTCGTGGACCGGTCTTCTCATAGGCCATCACTACGTTGTGTTGTCAAGGGGTGTGTTCTGAGCAGCGACTAGGATTCTAAACAAGCCAAACAAAATTTAACCCACAAAAGGAGCACCTAGAATATTCCGTATAAGGATGGCTTCTTTTGGAATCATGAATTATGTTTGTTTTAGTAAAATTTGACTATAGTTTTATCTTGGCTAAGGGCTAGTCAAGGCCAACAAATTCTGTTTTGTTTTATTCATGTTGCAAGTTCCTCGTTGTTTTCTAACATTTATATACTTCTCCAATTGTAACTAATTTAATATCAGATAATACCATGCTACTGTAAAAGGATTAATGGACATAGACCATTTTTAATTACAGTGGAAGACTGGCCAAGTCACCGCTTGTGAAAATCATCGTAAAAGCGAGCATAAGGACAATGCCCACCTGATCTATGTAAATGTTACTATATATAGGGCAGCCATATTAAGTCACCATCCCTATCAATGACTATAGATACGTGGACCTAGCCACAACTCTTAATGGTTTTGGTGATTGAAATGGTAACCCAATCACTAAGACTAACATGTATGCTAAGATGCGTTTCATGACTTCTCTTAGATCGCACAAAGATATTAAAGCCATGATAAACCCAATCACTAGGACTTGTCTTATGAATTTGGATTTAGAGTAAATAAAAATTGTATGATGTTAGGTTCAAGTCGTAAATATTTTCACATGCTTTCGAACAAGTAAAAGACCACTAAAACTAAAGTCTGGAGGAGAAAGATATGGGAAAATACCAAAACATCAAATTGTGCGCATGATTATATGGTCATTTTAATTCGCTGGACCAAGTATTTTTGCAAAATCCTGCATGGACAGTATGGCCATAGAAACAACATTTGGAAGAAGGACCTCTGACTCAAATACCGAAGCATCAAAGTGCGCGCAACATTCCGGTATTCACATGATGATAAAATGTGAATTTTTATTAGTCAAGTGAAGTATTTTTGCAAAACCTTACACAGCACGTCACATGCTTTCTATACTGTACAAGGTCATTTGAAACAAAGTTCGAAGCAAGAAGTTATGACCAAAAATTGAAAAGCCAGTTTCCTAAAAATAGTTTCAAAGGATGTTCCAGTTTGAAGGATTTTAGGGTCATTGTACGAATTGCTCATGGGCCACCAGACCCGACAAG